GATGATGATGATTATTTCGATATCATATCGGATTCCAATTGTAATCTGTTTCATTATTCGTTTTTGATATATACAAGAGCAGAGAATGCTTTTTGACAGAGGTGTGTGGATAAGGAAAACAGTAAATGTTCCAGTACTTTTTCTGATATTTTTTTGTGAACTTTTTTGAATTCACCCAAACATTTGATAAAGAAGATTTTTTGAAATTACCGTTCAAAGCTGAGTCGCACGATATTCCTATCGATTGATTTTCCTGTACCTTTGTCAAGCCGATATCTCAAACTTCTATGTTGGAAGGGTCTACTATCCATTAGCATTCATTCATTGATTGAAATGTCCATAGATAACTTACATGAACTGTACTTCATGAAAGATGGAGATACCGATGTAAATTGCGATCAAAAATTTCTCCATGAAAGTCATACAGTGCTATTCTTTAATGCCTCCCTCCTTTTATTTTTTCAAGGGATCAACTCAAAAAATTGGAATTTAGAATAATGAAATAAATGCATGTATACTTTATTCTGAAGTGAAATTGACAGATGAAACTTTCAAGATGGCGACTGGGCGTCATCTGGGAAAAAATTGAATTGAATGAGGGTCTTGTGACACAAATTTTGAAGATCTTGACAAACGCTTCACAACCTTAGAATATGTAGTCAATATCTTCAACTACTATAAAATGTCGGAACTTTCAATAATTGCCTGAATACATTGACATTTAACTACATAATATGAGGTAATAAGCTTGGAGTCAGTTCAGAAGATGCTCGAAATGATTGCCTTGACCTTCTTGACATATGAACAGCCTATGCAATATTTCACGCCGAACATTTTCGAATACGGTCACGTCAATATCTCTTCAAATATTCATTATTCTCTGCCGTATATCCAATATTGAAGGAGGTTCAGTTTCGTACACTTTTTGCTTCAATTGGCCCCATAAAAAACTACAATGGTGTCAAGTCTGACGAGCGGACTGGCCATTCTGTAGGACCTCGACGGCCATTCCAACGACCGGGAAAAGTAGTATCAAAATGGTTTCTCTTTGTCTGGAGTAATGTGGTGATGCTTCATCAACAAGAATACAATATCCATATCAAATTCGTTAGGATTCGCTTGGACGATTTCAGTGATAGAGGGTCAACCGTAGTTTCCAGCATATTCAAATACAGTTCCCCTGTCGAATTTCCATCAATAAATAGGGGTCCTACAATATGGTTTCGCAATATTCCCGCCCAAACGTTATTTTTTTCTGGATATTGGGTATGTGTTTTCCAGAAAACGTGAGGGTTGGTGTCACTCCAATAACGGCAATTTTGTCTGTGAACATTGCTGTTTGAAAAAATGTACATTCGTCACTAAAACAAATATTGTGGAGATAGGTAAGATGCCTTGCAATAGTTTTCGTCATGATTTCGCAGAATTCTGTTCTTCGATCAGGGTCATCTTCAGTTAATTGGTGTTCGATTTTAATTGTGTATGGATGATACCTATTACTCTTCAAAAGTCTCCACACAGTTAAAGGAGACACCTCACAAACATTCGCGACAGAATGATTATACTGTTCAGGATTCATTACCATCTCACCAATTATTTGCACTTGGTGTTTTTCCGGAATGGACGGATGACCTGGGGTCTCTTTGTTGTGAACACTACCGGTAGTTGTGAATTTGGATACAAGTTCCCTCAAATATTTTCTATAGATAGGACGATTCGGAAAACGTTCATTGAAAATCCTTTCGGTCTCGTGTAAGTTACGCGTCGCACTGTAAAAAAAAATCGCTTCTATTTTTTCTTCCAATGGACGAGAATTGACCATTTCAGAGATTGTTGACGTGATACCTTTCTATTAGTGAAATCAAAAATTATATGAGAATATTCTAACTGAACAATGATTTTCATTGTCGTACTGATATTTTTTGTCGTTTTTATAAACAAAAAATAACTTAACAAACCTTATCGGGTTGTTGGAATTGTCATATGACNAACATATTCCTTCTGACGCCCAAAGGAACTTCCTCCAGCAGTACTGGATGCACTTCTCTTAAAAATGGAACATATGCCTCACCATTCAATCGAAGAGGTAGAATATAAGGCCCAATTAAATCATCCCCAATAACTCCGAGCCACACGTTAAGAGAAAAGAGCTTCTAACCCATTTCCCTGCGACAGACCGTAAACGTAATGCATGTCAGCCATTTTCTCATTTGTGTATACCATTTTAATAACAAGTGAATTATTGAAGTAACAAATTAAGAACAGAACAACAACACACAATTAGCATTAATTCAATTTCGAAAATTCACAACCTGACAGCGTCATACCAATTTAATTGTCACTATCGCTAATAGCGACCTACTAGATATATTGGTTTCGTATTTTCGCATTTATGACGATGTATCTCTGAAGTTGTTCGTAAAATAATTTTTCGCTACGAACTGGTTTATTTTGAGCAAATACCCATAGGACATTTTTTGTTTAGAGTGAAACAGACTATCGGAAATAAATTTTTAAATGGTAAACAAATGATAAGGCAAAAAGTTATATTGGAAATAAATTTTAGGGGTTGCGTTTTCCACCCCTTACAACCATGGGGTAGACCAAATAAATTTCTGGCTAAGTGTCTTTTTGGTAGTGCAAAACGTCAGGTTAATTTCAATAATGTAACTTTTTTAGTGCTTGTGAAAAAAATTGTTATACAAATTTTATGTACCCCTTTAAGGGGCTGTATCTTAACAAGGGATGCTCTAATGAAATTTCTTTATATGAAAGATCCTATCTATTTTTTGCTGAGGAATCACCTCCTTGAATGTTTTACACTTATTTAGTTACACCCTGTATTATATTAGAATATATATTAGAACAGAAGTCCGGACTAATGGAAGCTGCATGAAACATTGTCATACACCTTCAATCAACCTTCTGATTCGAACAAATTCAATAGGAAGTGAAAGATACAGGAAATATAGGAGTCAACTATGTCAGTCAACTGATTATTCGGATTCTCAATGTGTGGAAGTATAACTAGAACAGAGATAACATATAATTCGATTGGCTATGAGCCTTGTTCCACAAATTCAGCTTGTAAAATAACAGACTTCATCAGTGAATCGATGATTTCTCTGAATCACTCTAATGGGTCATTGTTATATGTACATTATTTGATGATTATTCACATGACTCAGCAAAATATCATTCTGGTTGTGCAAGGAAAATATTTTATTATTCAATATATCACAATTGGATGGTTACTTCAAAATTAATGATATGAAATTTTGTCATGATAGTCATTGTGCAGTGATAACGTCTGGTTTGGGCATTTTATCTTCGTTTTAAAACTTCGAGCTCGTGAATTCCTATTTCTTGCAGGGATCGAGATTATTTTGAAGTCATTCCTCAGCTAGTTATCCTTGTTGAATATCTGTGTACGAAATATTTACATTAATCACTGTTATGGCGAAACATTTCATGCAACACATAACAAACAGGCAAAGTACCCTGTACTGAGGTACAAAAAAGCCGCATTGGAGTTTGAAACTTCAGGTGGTTTTTGAGCCAGAGGTCTTCAAAATTGTGAGTTGTTCTCAAAATTGATAATGTTTCCAACTTTCTCTAAATACATAAGTAACATAAAGTGCCTTCAGAATGTTCTTCCTGTATAATCATTTCATTTCAGTAGGAGATTCGGTATTTTTGAGTTATTTCTTTCACATTCACATCAACATTGACTCCATTTGAATGAAGTTTACATTTTATGATACATTCGATATTCCTTTCTCTATATCTTTTCGAGGTGAAACTGATCGAAACTGAATATCATTGCAGGTCACGCTTCACGAAAATGTCATTATTATTCCTTATGAGTATTACGATTCCCCCAAGTACATTGAGTAGTAAAAGTATGAAAGCAATCATTATTCCAGTGTCACGTTCCGGATCCAAAGAAGCAGAAGTGGAATTCTTAAATTAAAATTTCACATTGAATATCAATCTGCTTTCACAACAGCCGTGGATGTTATGATGAAGGCACAAAGAAAAACTACATCAATACCACTGCTTTCAATTGAAAAGTTCACAATAGAAATGCTGATGAATTATTTTGTTACCATCAAAAAGAGTAATCAGGACGATGTGACAATAAAAGAAGTAATCAGAGAGCTGTGGTCACTTTGGTTATGTCGAATAATACATACATTTTCAGCTTTTTCAATAAACTCCTGCTATTGTATCGAAAAATGTATGGAATGGATATAGAGATGAATATTGAGTTGGTGGTAGATGTAGAAACAGTCGTGTAAGGACCCCGGTTCACAGTTGATAACTGAGATTCGATTCTATGTCGAAACGTAGATTTTATTCCCGTTAATGGTGCCATGGTATTTGGTGTATAAACGGGGACTATCTTTCGGAGTTATATGAGAGCAAATATCAATATTGAAATGGTTTTGCTAAATTTTGAGTCAATTTTTTTCATTTTACACCAGTTTCATTAAATGACTGATTTTTTTCGCCTCGGTGAAAATGAATCGAACATAAATCCTGTAAGTAGTCCATGAGTTGACAAAATTGTTTTCTGGTGTGACTGAGAAATTGTGAAATTTGAAGATTGGTTCTGCATACTTATGATTTTTAATTATCATCAATTGATTCTTATGTCTAGTTGGTGCAAAATTTGACACAGAACTGGAGATCAAAACTATATGCTCACCAGAAAACGGTAGTTGTAATTCATATAAATAAACGTTGGCGAATAATGCGAATTGCTCAGGTAGGACGTGAAGCTGATATTGTGTCCAAAGAAGCAGGAAAGCTCATGCAGTATCAATGAATATATAACGCTATTCGCAACTGAAAAACAAGACATATGGAATACAAAACGACCGAATGCATTCATGCAGGGGGCAAACAAGTTATTGTTTCATATTCTTGGAAACTGAATGAATTAAATTAACAAACAGAAGGATACTCCAACTCGCAGTGAGAATGATACAACTTACAACGCATTTTCTGGCTCCAGCGGTCCATACAAAGGTTATGGACAACTTTGATACTGCTCTTGTACAGGAACATAGGGTCTGCTGGTGGAAGATTATGAGATTGGGGAAATGAACCAAATATAATGTCGTTGAGTAACTCTCTTTTCATGGACTTGACAGCAATATAATTAGAGACAGTTGGTGTCGAGAAACCTGAGAAAATCATCTTTGGATCTTCGTTTCTCTCTTTCAATAGTAATATGTCTGCTGGTTCACCGGAAACGGCATCATGCCGTGTCACAAGAAAAAACAGATTAACTAGGGATAACTTCTCGTTGCTACCCTGTTTGGGTTTGAAAACGGGCTGAAATCTCGAAAAATTAATATACTTCAGAAAGGTGGTTCAGTCATTTATTCACATTTCATTTCTGGATATTGCAGATCATTTGAATACATAATATTTTACTCAGGTTACTAATCATCCCTTGAATATTTCTTCACATATCGAATGGGATTGGAATTCTCATTTGAGAGAGTGGCAAAAGCGTTTCTTCAATTATTCACCAAATACAGTATAGAGGAAGGTTGCAAAAATTGAAAATATTCATCACAATCATTCAAAACATTTCATTCTTTATCCACATATATTTCTTCCTTATGCAAATCTAAAGTTACATATTACGGTGATTTCCACCCTATGAATGGGGTAAACAGAAAAATGTCTCCTTCATTCCTGGTTGATCTAACGAATATTTATGAAGGAAGTTGAATCCGAAAGGTCAAAACCTCACAAAATGGAATGAATAAACGTTTTGATATAAATATTTCTTTCAGATGAATATTGTCTTTTTTTTCATCTGAATAAATTATTCAGGAAAGACATAAATTTTCTTTCTTTAGACATTCTTGATTTTTTTCCCTGAAGAAGTTGAACTTAAAAGTAAAAATGAAAATTTTTTGGAAAATTAACGGTTTATTAGACCACATTATTTGCTCTGTTTTTTTTCATCTGAATGAATTATTCAGGAAAGACATATATTTTCTTTCTTTAGACATTCTTAATTTTCTTCCCTGAAGAAGTTGAACTTAAAAGTAAAAATGAAATTTTTTTGGAAAATTAACGGTTTATTAGACCACATTATTTGCTCAGATATTCTACAGATGAATCATTCTTCGACAAATATTATTTTATTGACAAATCGTATCAATAAGAAACTCCTAAGTTGAAAGTACTGTTCAAAATATTTCAATATTTCTCATGTATCGAATTATTTCAACTTCACACAATTGTCTCTGAAATTATTCAAGATTCTTTGCGAATATATTCTTTCACTTAAGCTCTAGACACTTCTCACCTGTTTCTTCCATTTCGGTACAAATCTAGCAGGTAGTACTCCTGGCATCACTATCATTGACACAATTAAAAATAACATTTTTTTTTATCTCAGGCTTCAAATATACCGAAATACGAGTGTATAGCGATGTGATGCGACCGTGAACTTGAACGTCCGTGAAGAAGTGAAGACCGATGACCTCCTTTTGCCTTCTTGTGACTAACTGTAACTGTCGAACAAGCTATACATAGAATGACCGCGTGATATTCTTCTACTCGTTGCATCCGGGACCATCTTCAAAGATGCAATGATAAAAATACTGACTACTTGTTTTTTTTTTCGATATCACTCCGATTACTTCTATTGGTATCTATTGGTATATCACTCCGATTATTTCTATTGGTTTCTGTTGGTATCTTCACCAGAACACGCATTTTCACTTCAGTATTATCAATACATTTAGTGTGAGTCACCGAAAACGAATCAAATCGAAATCTTCAAGACACATTTGCGAAGATAAAAAATGCGAAACATTTTTAATTCTAGGAAGACATTTTTACATCAACTGTCATAACTCCTCCTCCACCCTTATAATATTGATAGGCAAAGAAAGTACTTAATGTGATATATCCTTGAATAGATAACTTTATAAGAAATTTTCTTTTCTACTTCCTTTCGAAAACGACTTTGAAATATTGTTGATATATAATTTATCATGTGTTTAGAGGAAATGAGGGGTAAGTTTTTGATGTCAGAATATATCTTTTAATTAGCTTCAATAATTGACCACATATTTGATAATTCAGGCCTTTATTTTCAGTTGATAGTTTTTTTTTGAAGCTGGATTTGACTCATTTTATCTACATTTTAGATATATATGTTCACCATAGTTCCGTCGTCATGGGTAAATAATAACCAACTCTCATGGCCAAAAATTGATGCTGATGAGCTTATACGAATCCACAATTCTATGCCCGAAGCCAGTTGGTTTACAATGATGTATAAACTGAAACGAAGTCATTTGATGACCTACCAAATTGCTGAAGAAGAACTATTAGAACGAATGCTGAAGAATGACGATACAGAACAAGAAAAAATTATCAATTTTATGCAACCTAAAAATCGAGCAGGGTTATTTTCATTCAAACAAGTTGTCACAGAATGTGTAAAAAAGCCAGAGTTATGTATCTTTTATGATTCACCGTCTATGACAGTAGGTATTAGCTATTTGAGGAGTTACTTCTGAATACTTTCTGAAAAGCATACCTTGCTGTACCTGAATTTGTCATCATTCAAAGGGTTGTAACACGAAACTGCTTCACTTGAGTTATCCCGTATGATACATATTTTTACTATTTTGATTTAATATGTATTTGAAGTATCCACAATCAAATCAGTTTGGAGTATTTTTTATCAAATTGAAGTGTATTTGTAAAATTTACTTGGATTTGTATTTTTTTATGTGAACGTCAACTTCATGTTTGTTGCAATGATATTTAACAGAACTCTAGAATAAAACAAATACTTTTTTTAACGAGGCAAATACTTTACTGAGTATAATGTTCATGTGAATAAACTGTCAATAAAAGTATAAAATTTCTTTTATTCTGACAACAATACCTCAACTAGCACAGACATTAAAAAACAATCCAAAATCTATCGCGGATATTAATGAACAAAAAACACATACGCCCTAAAACAATACTGATAGTGTGGCTTCTTAAAACTTGCCTGTAAAACGTTTTCATATTTGTCCTTAATTAAAAATGCCTCGCTCAGTATTATTAACGTTAATTTAAAAGGCAGAATTAGTTTTAATCTGTGGTGATGGTTACAAAACAATGCGCGAAGATGCAAATATTTTCAACGAGCGGCATCCAGCCAAACAAATTTGCTATTCAAGTGTGAGTAGAATTTTAGATAATACGGAGCGTATGAAACCTGTATGCACAGAAAAAACCAGCTTGACGTACTTCCACCCAAGAAATTAGTGATTATACCGGCATGAAAAAAAACCTCTGTGAAGCGTATTCTCAAGAAACATAAGTATCATGCTCATAAACCTACATTCATTTGTACATTTCATGAAAGAGATATTATTTTTCCATGTGGATTCAGAGTGAAATAGAAGAACAATATTCTAGGTCCTTTTTTTTTCGCGAGAATTTGAATGGGGACAGGTTCTTGCACTTTTTAGAAACTGAAATAGGAGAGTGTCTGGATGATATAGTATTAGAAGAATGACAAAAGTTATGATTCCAACATGACGGATTTCCTGCCCTTTCTACTGGAAATGTTTCTCAGTGGCTGAATAGGACATTTCGTAATGAATGGTTAGGATGAAATACCGATCCTCGATGGCCTCCTCGTTCTCCAGACCTCACACCTCTAGATAATTTCTTATGGGGATACTTTAATAATGTTGATGAGCTTGAAACTTCAATACGAGTTCATTGCAGAAATATTCTCGATGATGTGTTGCGATCTATATTAAACGAATTTTATGAGCGAGCAATTAGGTGCATCGAAATAGAAGGTGGACATACAGAGACGCTTCGATAATTTTTATTGTTAGTACCTGTTAAGTTGTTGAGTTACCTAGTATATTTTTCTGTACTATCGCTTATTGGTTCTTTTTTGTTCATGGCTATCCGCGATAGACTTTGACAGTTTATTCACATGAACATTATACTTAGTAAAGTATTTGCCTCGTTAAAAAGAGTATTTGTTTTATTCTAGAGTTCTGTTAAATATCGTTGCAACAAACATGAATCATTATTACGAGAACACCAAAGATTCGAAACAGTGCATTTCAAATATCCCAATATCTATACTTTGATTATTGCACTACTTCCTGAATATATTGTACTTGGACCATTTCAACTGACACATCTGACATCAATCACGAAAATTTTTCTGATTGCCACTTCATTGATAGTTTCAAACTGATCAAGTCTTTGAAAGTATACGCTCTAGAATCACTCTCACTCAAATGAGCTCTCTTGAATAATACTAGCGGAATTCCGCGTCTTAAATTTTTCTACTCAACTTTTTCAATAACCATGTGTGAATTACCATTGAAAGATCGTTCACTCGACCAATACTTCGAACTACACTATTTTTTCAAATAGGTATCAATGATGACACTTTGTAACTATTACATCTGGTCAACTTTCACATATAGTCAGTGGGCATACTTGGAAGACTGGCTATAAATCAAATTATCTAAGAACATTTCGGTCAGGCCAGTCTCAACTCCCTACAAAGTAGGTTAATGGACTGACACCTCTCAGAAAACAACTACTCCCCTGGCTAATACCATGAAGGGCGTTGGATTATATCCGACAGGTGTCAGTGCAAGATTCTTCACAGAAGTTATTCTTGCATATGCTGTTGACGATACAACTGCCGCAATAGATTTTCAATGATTGGAACACACTTGCAGACCGGTTTCTGGCCGTTTGGCCACTCGTCAGTGCAAGGTAGTGTATATACAATATATGAAAGTTTTCTTTACTTATACGAGGAATTGGGCAAATTTCGGATATGCAGTTGGTTACCTCGTTCACAGGCAGATGGGGCGACGACAAACCTGTTGTTTGTTGTATGCTTCAGCTTAGTTCGAGGAACGATACTCTGACGGAATTCGATTTTCAATTATCGGAAATCATCGACTTTATGTTGATGATATACACTACCTTGCACTGACGAGTGGCCAAACAGCCCGAAACCGGTCTGCAAGTGTGTTCCAATAATTGAAAATCTATTGCGGAAGTTGTATCGCCAACAGCATATGCAGGAATAACTTCTGTGAAGAATCCCGCACTGACACCTGTCAGATATAATCCAACGCCCTTCGTGGTTGTAGCCAGGGGAGTAGTTGTTTTCTGAGAGGTGTCAGTCCATTAACCTACTTTGTACGGAGTTGAGACTGGCCTGAACGAATTGTTCTTAGATAATTTTACATCTTGTCAAGTTGTATTGGACTATAATTACACTTCGTCAATTCCACATCCTAACTTCTACTAGAATTCATACTTAATTATAATATTTTCACAAGAGAGTTCAGGAAACCACAACACCTGGTTCACTTAACAACCTGTTCTTCAGTTTTTTTTGTACACGCCCGAAGGAACTATTGTGTGATGGAACATGAGAAAGTCTCATAATGAAGTGTTACCTTGGATTTTCATCAAGCATCGGTCAATTCGCAGTTCACATACGTTCGTGATCAGTAGTTAATATTCATGGGTAAGACGAGTGTGGTCTAGTTAAAACGTTTTAGAATGATAAGATTATCATTATTTATGTTTTTGCTTCCTGATACAGATTGTTCATCTCATGATGATTTGAAGAACTTCATTTTTCGACCCGAATCAGTCATCATATCCATACAACCATACACCAAACCAATAAAATTATGACTTGAATCAAGAAGAAAATCTACTGCAAACACTCCAAAATCATGAATCAAAGTAATGCTTTCGTCATTACCAATACGTTTCGTATTGGTACGTTATATTTCTGGTTTTCAATTCATACCGTAATCATTTGGTGGCCTTTGGTCACATCCTCATTCTTCAGAAAATAATCGAATAATACTTTAACATTTGATAGCCAGTAACCTTCTGGCAGAAATAAACTGAATCCAAACTTGCACACAAAAAGTTCCTTCGAAGCAATACATACACTGCAACATTTCAGTTTAGGGACCCTTACGAAATGTAATACGAACTGATTCCAATGATTTCAATAATGAATCAGAAATTTAATAGCTGATTCTAATACAAAAAATTAAAATCCATATACAGTTTCAATGTTTCAATAACCCAAAGCCATTTCGATCTTGACAACTTTAATCACTGGATATGCTATGTTGATCACTTTCAGAATCACTCAGTGAACTACATGGTTATTCACAATCCATGCAGACATGTGATATAGCAGAATCAATCTACTTCGAACCACATACATTTTTGCGCTATTTGCTTGTGATATTGTTAGTTTTCTCAATTCGAACAAAATATGTTGAAGTCTAATGAAATCAACAAATATTGTTTTACTTTTCTTGGTGTGGAATATAGGACACAGTTCATTTGACCAAAGGTATTAGAACTGGAAACGTTTCAGATTATCTGTTTAATGTTTGAGTGAAATTTGAGTTGCCTCATATTATTATTCTGTATAGACGCAATTTTGAAATGTTTGTTAATTTTTTTTTAAACATGGGATTCAAATTTTGGTATCATCAATATGATTACTGTAACAGATCATCTTTGAGTTATATCCGTAAGATATTTCAGTATTCTCAATGAAGGTTCACTTATGTCTGAAGATGAATAATCATCTTATCATCATACAAGAGTAGAATAAACAGAGCTGATAAGAAAATCAAAAAAAACTGGGCCATATTGGTTAGTCTAAGAAATAAATCAAATTCAATTCCAGAACACATCAATAAAGATCCCAAAACACAATGGCTCAAAAACTAACTTCATCCTTTGTTCCTACTTCAAATTCTAAGGATTATTTAAATGATGTAAATATGCCCAACAACTTTCATTGATGAAATTTCAGTAATAATTTTAAATAACCTTCCCGATTCCGCTTTGAATACAATAGTGATGGCTATAAATAAATCCTTTTTCTTGGAAATTTCCCTCCGTGTCTAAAAACAGCTCTTGTGATTCCTATTTTCAAAAGTGGTAATGCAGAAGATCCAAATAACTTCAGACCTATCTCCATGCTCTCAGCACTCTCAAAATTCATAGAAAAAATACAGTATATTAACCAACTGTCAATTTGACTTTTCAGAAGACAAGAGGCACAAATGATACAATATTTTCCTATCTTGAACATGTCTACACACATCTCAACAATGGTGAGGGCGTAGCTGCAGTATTCTGCGATTTCTCCAAAGCTTTTGATTATGTAAATCATGAACTTCTTTTGCAAAAGCTGAACTACTATGGCTTTAGAGGAGTGTGTAATGACTGCTTCAGGTCTTATTTGAGTGATAAAAAACAGTAAGTAAGATCAAATATAAAACTATCACACACTCAGGACATCGGGCGTTCCACAAATATCAGTACTGGGCCCGATTCTTTTCCTCATTTATGTAAATGACCTTGTTACTCTCTCAATTCAAGGAATTTTTACGATCTTTCCGGATGACACCACGCTACTTTGGTATGAAAAAAAAAACTTCTAATATGAAAGAAACTATCTCTAGAAAGTTGTGAAAAAATAATGTGACGCAAACTACTTGTGCTTTGATATCAAAAATACAAACCTACTTACCTTCAGCTGTAATATTAACAATTTATACCTGAATGGACAAATTATTGAGAATAAAAACCAATCCAAATTCCTGGGAATCTTCATAGATAACAAATGGTAATTTGATCAACATATTTCAGCTTTGAATAAAAAATTGGCATCAGGATGTTATGCACATGTAGACCATTATTTTTGAAAGACAAAATCTCACTGTTACTTGTATTTTCATACTTGGAACTGTTTGCCTGATTTACAAAAAACATAATATGGTTGGAACTCCGGAACATACAAATTACATAAACCGGCAAGTAACTGAGAATAAAGTACAACTTCCTGTTCCAAAAACAAGCCAGATAAACTATTATTTAATTTATGAAAGTAAAAAGCACATACCTTACGGAATTAGAAAGAAAAAAAATCTATGAAATGTTCAGAAATCTTGTTAAAGATGCCCTTGCAACTGAAGCGTACTACAATCTTGATGAATACTACAATGCAACTTTGCTGTGATTTAATAGAGGTGTTCTTTTGTTGTTTATATTGACACGTATATTTAAAATTATATTTTATACTGGGTTATATCCTATTTGATTGCCATGACATGTGAACTTATGTTCAAATTATGTATATTTGTTAGTTGCATTTTTTTGAAAGGGACTTTTTTTATACAAACTATTTTGTCTACAAACTTTGTTGGATTTCATTCTCTATTGTTATATTTTATCAATTAGATATGTTAATTTAGTTTTGCTCAAATTGTGTTTCTGGGTATTTGTGTTTTTGAATTGTTCCTTTTCTTTTATTGCTATACAGCAAATAATCTTGAATATTCCAAATTCTTCAATGTTAAAAACCAGAATTTCGAAATATATAGGCTAATAATGATGTTTCGATTATTGAAAATAAGACGAGAAAGAAAATGTTACATGAATGTTTTTTGAAATCAAAAGAAATTCTACACTCTTTTCTCCATACTTGTGATTGTCTGATATAGTCATGGTTTATGTTTCTTTGCAATTTTTATACCTCAGAATAGAAACGAATATTCTCGAAATATTTTAAATCTGAATTGAAGGGGTTATATTTTTAGGAGTGATTAATTTTTGGGAAAGAAAGTTTTTGGCTTTCTACTACTCCATCATGATACAAAAAAATGAGGGAATCTTCCAAAGAAAGGAAAGAGGTAATCAATTTGAAAATAAGTAACTCTATACATGGAAGTGTAGATCATACAAAGAAGTAACTTTCAGACACAAACTGAAAGAACGTCCTCCTGATCTATTATATATTGTCTTGACACTCACTGCTTCAGTAGTTGCCCAATCCTGTGCACTATAAACCAGATATACAGGAACATGTACCTTACTGATGTCGTATTTTGGAGAATACGGAGTTCCATAAACTTTATAATTCAGTTCATTGTAGTTATACTTTCGGAAGTTTCCTTTGATGAAGTCGGCGGCGTGATTCAGAATCTTAATGGAGGTTCCCCCAGGCGCTTGATTGAAGTAAACTGGAATTGATTCCTAAGAGCGACAACAGCAACGCATGTGAATTGGAAATGATATGAATATGTATAAACGAAAGATTTAAATTATCGAAAGTGGAAAAGAGTACAGATATATTTCTTAATACAATCAACTGTTATTGCAATTTACTGATTTTTCTGTCCAATAAACTCTTGTGAAATTACACTATATAAGTGCTATGAACTTATTGAGTGGTGATGAAAATGTTTCCAGTTTGAATAATAATAGTGTTACAGTCTAACCTGCCTTATAATAAATAAAGCCATATTTCGGAAATAATCAGTATTGATTTGCCAATACAGATCATACAGGGTGGGTCAAATAAAACTATACTATCATACCAACATTTTTCCGTTGCAATTTCGAAAGAAAAATTTAACTTTACATTCTCAAATAATAAGAGGCGTCTGGTGATAACTTTTTTGGAAAATCTTCAATTTTTATTTTCAATACACCACCTTTTTCTCATAACTTGATGCAGTGAATATCAAGAAATGTCGTAATGTGTCGATAATAATTCGACTTAAAGAAATTTACTTTTCAGTAGCACGTAACCGAAATTCTCAGAATGGCATTTTTTAAAAGAAGATAATTTTATCTTAGCAAAGTTCCATGATTTTCACTACTGCGAATGGAAAAAAATATCAAAAGTTTACAAACATTCTACGCTGAATAGGGTTCAAAATAGTATTTGCTAGCCTCCATACTTTCATAGAAGTTTTATTCGAAACGAATTGAGATGTTCTGTAGAATTTCAGGCGATGATATGATCAAGCAAATTATCGAATTATGCAAATTGACTTCGATAAATTATAGTCTTGAATACAAATGAAAAAATAATTTTCGAATGATCCGTCTACTAGAAAATATCTTTATTCATTCATTTAGTTTAGTTTTATCGGAATACGAACGAGACGAACCCACAGACAGAATTCACAAATTATTCGCAAATGCTATTTTAACGAATAGAAATAAATATTGCAAGTAATGAATAATGCTAGTAATCAACACCTCGACACGTGTTTCGATCACCAAGTAATCAGCTTTAAGAGGAAGATCAAAACTTCTCCTCAATTGCAAGTAATGTTGAAAGTACGGCACAAATCACGCATCCAAATTAAGTAGGGAAAAATATGTTCCTTTAGTTTGAACACAAAGATGATCAATGAATCAGAGAAAATATCATTGTCTTTAATATTTGAAAGATAGTTATAACTCTTCAGACAACGATGCAGTGAAGTAATTTGTGTTTGTTGAAGACATATTAGAGTGTAGGATATTCTGGAATATTATATTGAATTAGATTGGAATGGTATCGGTCAAACTATTCAAAATTTTGGAGGTGTATTTGATGTCAGTCAGTTTTTCATCAAGACTGATTCAGTTCAATTCTCGACACATGATTATTTGGTGAGTCTCGACAGTATTTTTTGTTGACGTAATCTACGAACTTATTTTGAATGATTTCTCATAGCTCATCGAGATATTTACGTATGTCATGAAGAGCGTTCGTATTGTTTTTTGGATAACTGGAAGGATAACTTGTTCATAAATGAAATATACGATATTTTTTTATCGCAAATCAGTATAGAATCAAATATTATTCCCCAAGTCCTTCACTTCATTACACATTCGAAGATAATGTTTTCCTGATTTATAGTCAAAATGTGATGAATTATTGATATGAAATGATATATGATAGCATTAATGAAGGTTTAGGTAAAGGGCATTAATTTCAGAGTATTTCTTGAACCTTTCAAGGAATTCTTGTATTAGCATAGAATCATTCCAATTAGAGACTGCATGAAATATTTTCAGATCTTCTGCGTACATGAGAAAATTGAAAAACTCGAGACATTCTAATTCATCATTTAAGAAAATGAAGCCAAATGTGATCCCCGATGGTATGCAAATTGAGTTTGAAAAACAATTTCAAATAAAAATCGCCTGATGAGGGTTACTCGCGTAAGATCGGAATTAATTCAGCAGTGATCCAGTAGATCCAAGCTTGAACACTAGTAGGTAAACCATGATCGATTTTGTCGAAAGATTCACTGAAGTCCGTGTTGATAGCATCTACTTGAATTTTGCTGAATATATTTCGAATATTCGAATAAGTTCATTTCGAAAAATCTATTTTTGATGAATATGTATTGGTTTTCGTTTGAAATATTGATAACGGCGGAATATAACTTATCGTACAAAGTTGATTCAAACAACTACAAAATAATACCATCTGATCGCAAAAGATAGATAACAGTAAAATACTATGCCGACCAGATAGTACGACACATCATTGAAAATTCAAACTTGTGTAATATTTTTATATTGAAACGATTATTGAAACGAAAAAAAAATTAATGCAAAAAGGTCACAATACAAAAACTTCAAGAAACAAATCCTGGTGTGACGAGACGAATGCAGAAGAGTAACACGAAGCGAGTACACAGAAAAAGGCAAAATGGAAAAATGCTAAAAACAGGCTACGTCAAAGAAAAATCGATATGAAAACTGTCAAACAAGATAAAGGGCCACGTGGAATGAAAGCAAACCATAAATAAAACAGACATACTACCTGAGCTGAAAATTCTCGAGCGTAACACATAGAAGACGCTAGTCTTTTTGCATTTACCGTTTTTCCAGTTAGTGTGTACTAACCTTCAAAAGGAAGCTGTTGGAATTTCCTGACATTCTACTCATAAGTTTGTGAGTTATTTTGCTAATACTCTACTTTTGTTATTTTCAAAACAATGGATCTAGAAAAATTTTGTGTTTTGATTTTACACTACTTCTTGAAGGGAAAAAATGCCGTTCAAGCGAAGAAATAGCTTGAAAAGTGTTATTAGGACTCCGCTCCATCAAAAATAAACAATTGAACGTTGGTTAGCTGATTTCAAACGTGGTCGTAGAAACAACACCGATGATGCAGTGGACGTCCAAACGATACAGTAACACCAAAATATAAAAAAATCACAAAATCGTTTTGAATGATCAAGAAGTGAAGTTGCGTAGGTTAGCTGACATTATGAAGTGAAGATGTCAGAAGAACGTGTTGGCTTTATATTGCATGAGCATTTGATTATGATGAGAAAGCTTTGGTCAAAGTGGATGCCGCGCGAGCTCACTGTTGCGTCGTTGTGTGACAATGAATAAAACATGGACCCATAATTTCATTTCGGAATCAAAATGATCGTCATCTGAGTGGAGAGCAACTGGTGAACCCCCCTCAAAGTGCCCGAAAGCACAACAATCGGCTGGAAAGGTTATGGCCTCGGTATTTTGAGATATGCTTGGTGTAATATTCATCGACTATCTTGAGAAGGAAAATACTTATCTAATGTTATTGGAGCGTTTGAAGGCCGAAATTGCAAAGAAACGACTGCATATGGCAAAGACAAAATTTGTGTTTCATCAAGACTAAGCACCGTGTGACAAGTCGATCAAAACTATGGCAAAGCTACATGGATTGAACTGTTCCCAAATCCACCATATTTGCTAGATTTGGCTTCAAGGGACTAGTGGCTGTTCGTGCTCACTGGGGAGGAATGTTGCCGGAATGAAAAGGTTATTGCTGAAAGTGAGGCCTATTTGGGGCAGAAGATAAATTGTTGTACAAAAGTGGTATTGAAATGCTATAGCGGCGCTGGAATGATTGTGTGGCTCTTGATAGAGATTACGTTAATGAATAAACCAATGTCAAACAAGAGAAACGCTGGAACTTTTTATCCCATGTTAAGTATGAATTGTAAGAGAATGAATGATCAACGAAAGCTATGATAGAAAAAATAAGAAAAGCAGAAAAGAGAAAAACTATTACTCAAAAAAAAACAAATGGAAAGGAATAAACATAGAATAGAAAAAAATAAATGTAATTCGTTTCTAGGAATTTGAGAAACATGCCACAAATATGAAAAATGTGAGAAATAACTCAGCAGATAAGTGAATAGGAAACTGGCATTTCAATAAACATTTCACGCTCATCAAAATGAGAAACAGCGGTTTCATGTTTAAAAAAATTGATCTTCTTTCGGTTTTATTGACATCCACTTCAGATAGATAGATTCATTTCTTTTTTATGGACCCAGTTGATGAATTAGAAGATTTTGTACTTTCATTGACATTGAACGGTAATAGTAAAAACTCTCCAAACTCCTTTAAATCGATAATACCATTAGAATGAAATAATTATATGGATATATGTTCTTAAGAAGCTTTTTCATCTAATTGGAAAAAGTAAAGTAGAGTAAGGGGCTGCGATATTATATTTCAGGCTAGACTGACTAGATAGTATGACACACAATTGAAATTGTCTGATTGGGTAGTGGTATACATATACTGAATATTGTCGTGATTTGCTACACCCATAATAGTAAAATACTGAAATGCAGAATTATCTGAAAACGGTTGGGAATATAAATATGTGTTTATCTCCGATATGAATATTCAGAGCACGAGTAATAACTGTGGATTCAATATAAGATGATAAAAATTAGAAATGTATGGTTTTTCCTGTATTCTTATCTATCTTACCGGTCCCAAATCAGTGTTAGGTCCATAAAATAGATTATACATCTGCATACAGTTCCTCATCAACTCTGGAGATTCCATGCAAACTGGAATAACAAATCTTCTGAGCTCTCTAGCATGTGATACTATTCTGTCCAATTTCAGTCTTCTGACAGTATCCTGTAAAAAACGTCAAACTGAATTAAAAATTCATGAACTGATATGAGATGAATTGAAAACTAAATCATCTACTGCAATAATACATCATTATATCATTCAAAACCATTGAATGAAAGAAGCGTTATAAGAAATGACATTACGAGAATCATAAAAATATAATGTGCTTTCCGAAAAAATTCAATTATCCGGTATAGATGACAGAAGAACTGTGTATTTCACAGAGGAACCAAGGAATTGAAAATCTCTATTGTTGAAGAGAAATCAAACATGAACCAAACTTCAACAATAGACACAATCATCCACTGATTCTGAAATATTTCATAATAAAAGTATCGTTCAATTCATAAACAAGATTTCAGTCATTAGTTATTCACTTTTTGAAGTGAATCATTGTGACTATGGATTTGTAGTGAATACCAACTTTTGTTTAGTTGTAAATTAATCTTCCTTCTTCTTGTCTGTTACGCTCGTTTACGTTACGGTGTTGTGTTGTTACTGTGACAACCCAAGAATTCGGCTCCGGCTGACCCGAATGCTTGTCTGAACCCTGTTCCTAAATTACCGAATGAACTTAAGCACATCTGTCACAAAAAAAATGGCATAATGAACTGATTAATCATAAATAAAAAAAAATACATAATGATCAGATTCATTATAAATACTTCACTATGAATTTAGATAAATAAATAATATCTATGGACATACAATTTCTATTTAGAATTGAAATATAATTAAGTCACGATCAAATGTAGCAGAAATTAATATTGGTTCTGCTGGCTTTGGATCCATAGCGAAAGGCCATTATCAAGTATGTCAAAAATAAAATAAATCATCAGTATGAAACTAATTTCAACTCCTTGTACAATATATCATCTGTATATAATGGCATAATGACAGATTGGTACCGAGTGGTGAGAAAAGAAATATTTAAAAATAAAATCGACGAATCATTTACTGATATCTCCTGAAGTGCCAAAATGGAGTTTGAAGCCCCTGACTCTGCTGAATTCAGGATAGAAAAAAAACTAAGTTCTTCTTCTATAATTTTCCACTATTTAGGTAACAGCTCTCATTCAGATTCGGCTAATCGATGTTCCCAAATGTAAAAGAATGCAGCTCCCCATAAAACTCTTCGAGTTTCGGAAGGGTTTTCCAAAAATTCCAATCGAAAAATTATTTCACAGTCTTTTGGGCAATGTCTTCAATTTTTCCAGAAAATTACCCACCTATAGTATGATGATTACCAAGTGAATAAAATTATGAGATGGTAACAGGTCGTGCAGTTCTATTATCCTCCAAAGAGAGTGAAATTTAACATCAAATGCTATACCCAAGGAAGCAAACCTAGGTACTGTATTCATTTAGTGAATCAATCCTCGAAGAGATATTGATGAATAAATTTTCCAGGCGGGTCTTCTTTGAACCTTCACATAGCAACCCCAGCGCATAACTATACGTCATCGACAGGTGTCATGAACCAATGGGCAATCGAAAAGAACTATTTCAGAATATTGAATTATTTAAATGAATTTTCCAAACTGAAACAATCTACTGAGTGATTGGGAAAATCCGGAATTAATACTATGGGGAATTTCCTCCCAGTAGATGGGGAGCCCACGATGCAAAATGGGGATTTACTCGAAGGTCATAGAGACATATTACGTTGCAAAGCTTAGATGATAAGAAGAAAAAAATGTTATATAATATAGACATTTTCATCGGTGGGGCAAGCGGCTATACATTTGTAAATATGTAAAAAAATACTGTTGCATAGACATACTCGAGCGCGTCAGATATTGATGATAGCATTTAATGTTCGTATGTTAATCTGATCGTTTGTATGATGCGGGGGGTTGTACGTAAGAGTCCGAAGAGAAAAGAAAAAAAAATCAATCGACCGCGGATTTCCTGACGCAAACTCGCGGCCATCATTATAATGTGCAAAAAAAAAATTCGCCATTCTGAAATACTCAAGCGCGTCAGATTAGGATATATATGGTTCATGTTTATGTTCTGGACGTGCTGTCTCATATTCTGACGATTATCTAGAGGGATTCGCCTAATCTGACAAAAAAAAAATTACAGTTTTTTTTAATTTTTGAACGGAATGAGAGAGTAATAGATAGAGAAAAAGTGAAAAAGAAATAGAAACTCGGAGAGGGAAATATAAGTGTCGCACAGCTGCACGCACTAAACCGTATCGACGAATTTTTGTTATTTCGGGTTACGGAAATCGTCAGATTATATATTTTTCGTTAACCTTGGATTATTTCCTTCAAAATAAAAAAAAATTGCACGCTCGAGAATGTCGAAATGACGTTATTTTTTACAACTTTTCTGCCCTACCCTTCCTTCACGTCATTCTCAAATTGTCAGATTACTGGAACATACACTTTTTAGCATGTAATTAACTCACCCTACCTTAATCTGATGCGTTCGAGAATTTCTGATGATAATTTTTTTTTTACTAAATCTGATCCTTTATCCTTCACGGGCGGCCTTTTATATGAGGCTCATATTTGGTGGAGGTACTTAACCGAGTACAAGATATTCCCCTGTATATTAATCTGTCGCACTTTAATACACCCTGAAACCTGAGATATTTAAAATATATGAAATGAAATAACATTTTTTCAGGGATACGGTAGTTGATCTTGACTACTTGGTGTGTTGCAAGTATGAAAATATATTGTATAGGGATCGGTTCTACAAAAGAAATCAAAATGTACAAGATTCCGCCAATTGGGTACTGGAATATACTTAAAAAAAATTTGAAAGGAATTCTTTGAAGTTTGAAGCACGGTAGTACATTGCACTCCATCTACATTGAAATAACTTCAATAACAATTGGAAAGGTACTGTCTATTAATTTAACGATAGTAAACAACAATTGTTCAACTCTGTAACCTCACGGCCCACCAGTTTACAAACAAAAAGGAGAGAGGGATCTACGGGTGCTTGGAAAATGTTATTTCGGTGTTTATGAATTATAATACCTTGTGGATCAAATGGGTACCGTAACATGTTGTGTATTGATGAAGTGATAAGGTAAACTTTATTTCAAAATGTACAGAATGTGAAAGAATTAACACCTGAAATATCGACGAATATCATGAATAATGAAGATTGCTCTCAATTCATTGTCAATAATTCTTTTTTAATTGCACAGAATGTGAGCAAATAACCTGAAAATCAAACGTATACTCTATGGACGCGCTAGACTTGCAGCTGGTATCTTGTGATCCATTACAATTGAGAAAATCAACTTTGAAGTTGAAGTGAATCACTAACCATTTTCTCACCTGGAGACAATACTGAGAAATTAAATAGTTACCTGGGCATGAAAATTATTTCTGAGAATTTTTATATATTTGAATGATTCAGGCATACCATTTTTGAGTTATATTGATGCTAGTGCTAGTGAGTACTTTTACAGTTTACTCATGATGAAAACTAGTGAACCGTAAAATAATTTTCAAACACTCCAGATAACCTAACCTAACATCCATCACCGGAGTTATGTTCAAGAGCGAACTATTGCTTTTATTTAATACAGTTACAAAACAATTCAATACAAAATACGAACTCACACAGATAATGATTCTCTTTCTTCAATGTTTAACTGAAAAATTCAATTTTTCCATTCAGGATATCTACTAAAAGAATAACGTAAACTCCTTCTGAAAAAATCATATAGTTCACTCTCTGAATCAATATTATTCGAAAGTTATTGACGGTGATTCATTGTATCTCGGTTATTCTCTATTTTCTTCTCAACAACTATAATAATATCTGTAACAGAAGATCAGCTAAACTTCTTCAAATATAAGAAACTAGGCCATATCACATCTAACTGCTATGACGCACTTCACAAGTTGAATCTAAACGCAACCCAATGAACTAGAAACAAAGAAAGTCTCGATTTCAAAAAAATTCTATATGTATTGAAAATCATATCAAACTCAATGATTTTTACCTGACACAAATCGGAATGCATAATATTTCAAAATTGTTATTTTTAATATCTCCCAATAATGTGAGATAATTAAATTAATTCTAAGTGAGCAGATATGATTCTAATTTCAAATTGCTTCGGGAGTTATGTTCAATTCCATGTTATAAATATCTGCCTGAATGCCTTACTCAGGATACTGAAAATTAATACATAGATAATATACCATTTGTGATTTATGTTATTGAATGAATTAAGAGAATGTCGAACTTCTAAGGTTATTCTACTTTCAATATTGGCACATTGATTTAAATGTTTGTTTGAGTAACGGATCTGATTGTGAATCACAGCTAGGTGATAACAACATTATACAGTGCATTCCTCTCAACACGATCACCTTGAATAACTTTTGGTACAATGATTTGCAGGAAAAATGAAAAAAACACGTTTACCATAGTATACAGGGGGACACATTTTTAAATATTCACATTTGATGTAACTTCCCGTCTCGCACCCCCAAAGCATGTCAGCATTTTTTTATTGGATCACCCAATATTGTTCCACATTATCAGATGTTCCATGATGATCAGATTTCAATAAGTATAAAACATATGGTTCGGGACTACAAATTATTTGAGTTGAAAACGAGCCACCCTGAAAAAGTTTTGGAACAATGATTTTCAGGAAAAATTAAAAAACACCTCAACAATAGTACACAGAGGGACACATTATGACATAATTACATTTGATCAAACTCTCCTTATCGCACCCCCAGAGCATGTCACCATTTTTTTTACTAGGATCAATTGTTCTGTTCCGTGATGAACGAAGTAGGATACATTATGGTCTTAAAAGCTCATAGTTTGAAAGCTAAAAATTAGCTGAGTTGAAATCGAGCCACCCTGAATGTACTTCTGTACAATCTGTTACCTTGGTTTCATAGGTGTTTTTGAGAAGTATACTTCAAAACAGTCTTATTTTACCTAGTTAAGTTTGAAATCGATATTCTCTTCATTTTGTATTCGTCTCATTCTACAATAACGATTACCTACTAGGTGAAGTTACAATTGGTGTGTCTGTTTTTGTGAATTCTTGAGAAGCAATGGTTTATACGATTCGAGAACGGATTGAAATAATGAGTTTGTATGACCAGTATGGAAATAGTGCCAGAGCTACTGCCCGTATGTTCAATGATAGTCGTCGAGGAAGGAATGTACGACACGAATACGTTTCGGAATCATCGAACAAATTTGTGGAAACTGAATCTGTTAACAATAAGAAGCATAACCGTTCAGGAGTTGTCAACGATGGAGTTATTTGTACTGCAGTTTTAGGACAAGTTGGACTAATGGAAAATTCGCAATCTTTTACTAAGTCATCTGGAGAATCAGGAATCAGTCGTACAAATATTTTCAGGATTATTCTTAAGTACAAATCATAAGATTAGACTAGCTCATGAATTGAACGAAGATGATTTTGATAGACGTATCGAATTTTGTGAAAGTCTCACTGAACGGATCAACTTGCGTTAGAATTTCTTGTATAAAGTTTGTTTTTCGGATGAATGTACGTTCAGTTCAAATGGAGAGGTGAATCGGTAGAATTGTCGATATTGGAGTGATGCGATTCCTCATTTATACCGTCAAGTTCATACCCAACGACCTCAAAAATTTAATGTTTGTACAGACATTTAAGGTAACCACATCATAGGACCTTTTTTTTCCATGATAATTCGACTAGTGATATATATTTGGATATGTTGGAGAATCGTTAAATAATGTGCATTAATAGGGCAATTGAGAAGGATATGAATTTATTCGGAAACGAAATAGTTTTTCAGCAGTATGATGCACCTCCTCATTATACAGCTCCAGTGCGACAATTTTTGGGTGATAATTTTTCTGGTCGCTGGATTGGTAGTAGGGGTCCTACAGATGGCCACCAAGGTCTCCGGATCTCACTCCTGTAAATTTCTTTCTATGAGAAAAGTTATGTATATTTCTCAAATTGTTTGGTGAAACAACATGAAGTTTTGGACCTAACTGAAAAAACTTCTTTGTGATATGTTTTTAATGGTCTTATTATTTATAACATGTTCGATTTTTGCCTCTGAATATTGGATGCACCGCTGCTCAGTCCGGAGAGTCTGGCGAGAGCTCATTGAATTCGAAGAACTCAAGTAGTGAAAATCGAGTGAGTAGCGTTAATGAAGTGAATAAATTATTCTGCGTGAGAACTGTGAGTTATTTGTTGCCTTTGAAAATTCTTCTGAACAGTAAACTGTAGAACAATGTTCTTAGTGTAAAAACTAGAGAAATGTTGATCAATATATTGTGATTTATGCCAGTAGAAGCAACGGCATATGGCATGAGTATTTCTCTTACGAAAATGAGAAGTAACAGTAATTATAAGTGGACTTGTAACCAACGAAAACTTACCAATACAAAATCACCCATGGGTGCCAACATCTTGTACGGAGATACCATATTTGTTAATGTGTATGCTGGACACAAAAGAACCATCATTTTCATAATTTTTCTGGCTCTTTCTGGATATTCTGAGGCGAACATGAGAGAAACTGTTGTTCCTAAAGAGTGTCCAATGAAAATGATCTTACTTCCAGGAGCTGTGTTGTCTAATATAGTTTGATATTGAGCAGGAATGTCGAGGAGAGCGACTTCATCTAGACTAAAATATGAAAATCTCATTGCATTCAGCCATGATTGAATTTTATATAAAACTTAATATATTATGAACGATCAAATTGTCAAAAACAATTTTTCATAAATTATAAATAATTTTGTAGTGATCAGAAAATGAGTAATATTTTTGCAAACATTTTTCAAAGATTAAATTTTTTCATTTTTCCATAACTCAACTCACTAATGGAAGAAAAATTATTGAAATATCCAGATTTTTTCAAGAATGGACCCAAAAAGTGAAAAAATAGGTTTTGGTCGTCTCGACCAAACAAAATCAATTTTTGCTTTTCGTAGTGGGGAGTCACTTGCGACGAATCTTCCAAGTCTTTTTTGATTTTCATGGAATTATTTTCCAGCAGCTTGACTGCATTAACCTTTCTATATTTCATATCATTTCTAGAAACATGTAGATTCGTTTTCCGATGGCATTTCAGGTTAGCTTCCCAAATTTCTGCTACCGCAGAGCAATAATCACATCCGAAACGAGCACTATAATTATAATGAAAATTGAAATGAAGTAATTTATATCCACAAAAAAATAAAGGCGCAATAAATGTTTGCATTGGAGTGAGTCCTTCCATTTCGAGACAAATAATGGGCCAATAAGATGACCTGCAAGATCACTAGATCTTACTATTTTGGACTATTTTGGACTATTTTCTATGGGAGACATTGAAAAATAGGATTTACGCTGACAGAGGGATAGAAAATGTGGAAAACTCGAGGTTGAGGATTTTGAATGATTTCGTAACAATGCAAATAAGTGTATGTATATAAAGGGCAATAAATAATATGAAAAACGAGTTCAGAAATGTCTCGAAATGAAAGGACTCCAATTCGAACATTTGTTGCGCCATTAATTTTTTCGTGTATATGAATTACTTCATGTCAATTTTCATTACAATTATAGTGTTCGTTTCGGATGTTATTATTGCTATCATTTCTTTTTCTGCTTACTGAAACACATATAATATATGTTTGATGTTGATATGTTTCAGATAGTCATAAAAGGTTTTCTTATTCGAAGTTCATTGTAGAAAACGCTCAGAGCAATAGGTACCTAAAAATGAAAATAAAAACTCTCCAAAAACTCTACGGTACATAGGGAGACGTGAAAGTTGGTATTGTGTTCTTATTCAACTCAGTCAACCAATTTCCAGGGCCGTAATTTAAAAGGAAATAATTCACCCAATTATAATCAAATATTACCAAAACATCCTGAAATATAGAAATGAATTTGATTCTTCAGCATGAAGTGAACGTTTACGATCCAAAAACTACAACAAAAAATACAGGTCCGTATTTAAAAATTCGAAGATAGGGGTGGCCCAAGTTAGGTGACACCCTGTATAGGAGATTCATGTACATATTCTGATAGCTTACATGAGGTGCCTATAGCAAAATGTGGACAGATTTTCAATCTGTTTTTCAATCTGGTTTTTTCTGTATATCTCTAGAACCAAAAGAGCTATATTCGTTTTTTTTACATCATTGAATAGGTCTCTAAAATACGCAACTTCGTCACAATTCAACCGACACTCTATCTCTTATCGTTTACGAGACCCCTATGTACAGAAACAAATTTGAATATCCTGAACACGTCAGTGTTGGTGGTTTGACCAATTAACCGACAACTGTGGTGGCGGACATTTTGGAAGCTAACCTGGGATGTCATCGAAAAACGAATCCACATGTTTCTAGAAATGATATGAATTGAGAAAGGTTAATGCAGTCAAGCTGGTGTAGAATAATTCCATGAATATCAAGAGATAAATAAATGAGTACCATTCTGATCATTCCCATATTGATTTCAATTCAAGAGCCACCGGTACGTAGCTGTTTTACCCTATTGGGCATCGTCAGTACCGGGCAGGCAGTCCTCGACTGAAGACAAAATGTGAAAAACCAAGAAAAGTGCTTAATAAAAAAAACTGCGTAAACGCAAGCGAGACATAAGTGGAACCACCTATTGGTGTGAGACACCAATAGCAATCTACACAATAACACCCACTCCCCCAGACAAAGCCCAATACACAATGGAGAGAAAATTAAATGCACATGCGCGCACAAACTAATATTTAAACAAATCAAATCCCAACACATAAATACGTCATTTCTATCCTCATCTTCCTCAATCACCGAAACGACACACACAGAAAATCAGATCCCTCCACCTGCCATTTTCAAGAAAACAACGCGCATTCCAATTTCTCAAAAACAACATCAAAAACATAGAAAAACATGATTAGAACTTTCACCATCAATCACTAAGAAGAACAACAGCACATCATTATTATTTACATTTTGAATAGATATCAATAAATTCAAGCAAAGTATGTACAAAACAAAAGATTATAAACGTTTCAACAAATGAACCAATTTAAAGGAAAGGCAATAAAAATAAAAATTGTATTCTATTTCAGGAAACCATTCAAATGTCCAATGTGTTATAACAAAATTTTCAAATGTGTGAGGATACACAACTTTCAGACAAACTCTGAAATAAAAGACTCACCCATGATTCCAGTACTCTTGATCAAAGATCGTCATGTTCACGTGTTCTTCAGAGTAGGGATTTCCTCTATAGTTTCCCAACCAAACATCATACCCAGCGTCTGATAATACGAACGCTATGAAAATTAACAACGATTATTTTCTTATTCATTTTCCAATAACTTCCTATACTAGGTTGTTCGGCCTATCGTAGAGAAATTGATTTTCGTAATATTTCAAAAAATATTTTGCATTTTGTGTATAGTAATTTTACATAGTCTTGTATTTGTAGTACATGAAGAAACTACTTTCATGTATTTCTCTTGTTGATATATCTGACGTTTTTATCTTTAGGATGCATTTTCAGTTACGATAAGGCACTAAGAGTGTTTTTTGACCGAATTTCAAGAGAAAAACTTTCATCATAAACATGTTAATGTCGAAAATCTTTCCGTGAAAAATTATATGTAAAACGTTTTGCAAATTTTTTTATTACTTGATTATTTGATACCTGATGAAAAACTGCGTTTTCTACAAATGGGACATTTTTGAAGATAATTTTCTGAATCATGATGGTGTTGAAATGTTGTTTCCTCGATTTATTAATAGTTTCGAGTTATTCTAAGCTCCATTTAGATTTGTTTGAACAGCAGAAGAATTCTTTTTCATCTGCTCATCTGCTTTCAACAAAGAGCACTCTCTGACTTATAATAAATCCGATTCGACTCATCAAACATGAATATTTCAACAAGATTTTCAGGGACAGTAAATGAAAAATCTACTCTCTTGGTAGATTGAAATTTACACAGTTTTCATAGCATATAATATTTCAAAATTGATTATTATTGGATTTGAATTTCATTCTTATAAAAAATAATGTAGTGAATGGTAGATGTTGATCCTACCCAACATCGCTCGATGAGATATCATTGCAACGGCTTAGGCAGCGTGAAATTGCTTTCGGGATAACGTTTCATTGCTGTGCCATCTATTTCCAGTTTCAAGGGTGAAACTATAAAAAAATGCATGATCGTGCCTCTAGGGTCAAAATACTCCCGAGGCAAAATAACTCCCCAATTGGATCTTTGGGTGAGGGCTGATTCGAACTCCCACCCGAAGATTCCCCCCACCTGCAGAAGTTATCAAAAAACCACTTTCTCCGACAGTCAACAGAGTTCATCTAACATCAGTCTACAGGAAAATAGCATGGTAACTTCAAAATCGATTTCTGCAACATCAGAGGACTCAATTCAAATATAAACTCAGTGCACCAACATCTGCAAACAAACACTCCTCATTATCTTATATTCACAGAAAACAAAGTCAGTGCTTTAACGAATCCCGTCAATTTTCTATATTCCAGCGATGATTTCCACTCTCGATTCAGATGTTACTTTTTTTTATCCGAAGCGATTTCTCCCGTCAACGAGAGAAGATGCTGGAACTCCAAAACGTTGATGTTGCGTGGTTTAAAATGATATCACAGAAAATCACTGAATTCATGTGCTGCTTTTGTCGACCACTTAGCGATACGCAATATAGGGCACTATTCTTTCCACTTGTAAACATCATTGACTTTCTGCAAATCAATCATTCCAGGGCCAAAATTTTCATATTCGTTGACTTCAATGTTCACAATATCGAATGGCTCAAATTTTCAAATATCACAGACGAATAAGGTCGCAAGCTGAGGCTTTCGCAATGAGCAGTGGACTTACTTATCTCATGAAATGAGACAACCAGAATGCTTGTCTTCTGGATCTATACCGAACGAACAATCCAGATATTAACACAAACACGGTAAGTTCTTCATTGGGATCTTCTGATTACAAGCTCACCTCAATGGTGAGTGAATTACCGACAAACGTTGAAAAACAATCTAAGCCTCGCAAAAATTGGCATAACAGATTTGCTGAGTGAGAAGATCTTCAAGACCATTTCCGAAATTTCCCCTGGCTAGGTACTAACTGCAACAATAGTCGATTTTCTGGGAGAGGTACCACCCACTACTCCCATATTAGAATCGAGCGAATTTTAAAACAGCTGTCTGGTCCTGATGCAGTGCTCGTCATCGTATTCAAAATGTGCGCTTATGCACTAGCAAAATTCTTTCAAATAACTATAAAGAAGTCGCTTTGCTGTCAGTGACAAGAAGTCGCTTTTACCATCACCGCTAGTGTTCCCCAGGGATCCATATTGTCTCCAATCTTTTTTTTTATTGTATATCACCGACTTATTGGAAAAAACCTAAAACCCAATGTCCTTTGCTTATGACAGAACACTTCTCTCGTCATTCCATCTGGATTCCAGGACATCGCCTGCGGATGCATATCTTCACCGGCAGCAGGAGATTCCATATCTTGATGAGTATCTACGGATGATTTCGAATTGGGGTGGAAGTAACTAGATTAGATTCAATGCCACGAAAACCCCAAACATCGTTTTACTACAAAAAAATGAATGTCTCCTAACCGGATATAATAATGTCAGCACAGACGATTTCGCTTTCTGCTAAGAAGTATATTGGGGGTTAAAATGGGGGTATGTCTTTTCGATACCTTGGAACACTGTTCCGAACCAGAAAATTGTACAAACCCCAGTAAATTTTGATGCTTTATAAAGCTCAGATGAGACCTTTGGAGTAATCTTCACATTTAAGGAAATCCGCTCCTAAACATACCCTGAAACTGCTATATTCCATCCAGAGAAGATTCATCTGCCTGATTGGAGACACGAACATCAATTATAACTTCGATAGTCTGAAACATCAAAGAAAGGTTGGAGATTTGTCTCTCTTTTATAGAATTTTCACGGGAAGTGTTCAAGTGACTTGGCACATTTGATTCCACCAAGAGGGGTAAATATCAGAAATACGCGACGAACTGTGGCTGCATATTGTTTTCAGGTTCAATCCAGTACACCTCGAACTTCACTGTTCGAAAACTCTTCCAGTTGGAGAATTGCATTCAGTCAGTATTCCGAAAAAATAATGAGGAATTTGGTTATGTCAAAATTCTCGTCGAGGCATATCAATGATTTTCAAAGTATAATAAAATTTTCTATTTTGAAAAAGATTTTAACTTTGTATTTTATTAATAGACAATATGATCGAAATATTGAAACAAATTTGGTGTTATATTTGAATTTTCCATTTAACAAAATCATAAATAATTTTAATACTCTCTTGTGAATAGTGGATTATTTTCTATGACACATCTCATATTCTGATAAACTGAATATAATGATATAAATATGTTATCAGTGTCTAAAATGAATCATGGAATTGAATACAGTATTTGTCGAAATGAAAATTTCTTTTTTGATTTCACAGAAAGAATTCAATATCGGATTCATTAAGAAAATCAGTTTTATACCAAGAAGATTTTTTTGTAACTCTTACCAAAATGAATGATCAATTTCAATTAGGAATGGTGAGAAGCACATGTTTCAAAGCGACTGAATAGAGAAATTTCAGTTCGATAACTCTAATATCATCACATGCAGAATCAACCAGCATATACGAGGTAAGTAGACTGTGTAGGGCATATTGCTTTCAAAATTTTTCCCATGAATTCATTTTCATGGTATTCAACAATCACTGCCTTGGATTCTGGGTAGGTATGGTGATAACTCCCTGATAACCCCTGAGTTGAGTTCGAACTCACGTAAGCCGGCACACTTCTACTTGTGCTAGCTCAGCGCCATTTTTCATTATTATCAATAGAATTGTTTTTGGTTTTCAAACACTGTATCGCAGTGGTTGAAATGTGATAGTAGTAGATAATCACGCAGCATTTTTTTTAATATCAACTGATAAATACTTCCTTTGGAAGTAGACTGCTTTCAAATCATTCTTCAGTTTCTCGGTGACATGTTCTTTGAAAACATTCAATTCAATTCATGTTAGGTTCGTCAATATACAAATAGATGAAAATAGTCATCCATACAATAAAGACGATACTCAAATATAAAATAACAATATACTTACTATACTCACGAATACATACACTATACAAATTTTTACACATTTATGTACACACACACACACATTCACATATATACTTACACAAATGTACAACAATCTTTAGCTGAATGAAAAGTCATAGGATCATTGGTCAAGAGAGTTTTCATTGTTGTTGATAGGAGTTCCTCTTATATTCTTTGGCACCAAGTTATAGTAGAAACTTTCAGCACATTCAGGTTGAAATTTTTTGAAAAGTTTGACAGTGTCTCAATCCTAAACTTTCATGATATGATTCGATAGGTATTTTTGCAATATGTAAATCTTTGATAAAGAAATATATTGAAAAAGCTCACCTAACGAATCTCTTCCTTTTCCAAGAAATGATGCACTTGTAGCTACTAGACCATGTTGCAAGTATATTGGGGTGAATCTTGCATCTGGGTTGTTGATATGATCATTCGGGATTCGAAACATGGTCAAAATGTATCCATCGGCTGTCTGTACCTTATACGTTAGAAGCGGATATCCCATTCGCTGGATAATTTCTGGCTAGAAAATATTTTCATGTGATTGTAAAATAATTTGGTTATATTGTTAAATATAGAATCGTGACATTATTTACAAGCAAATACCTCAGATAGACATAAATGAAAATATTTTTTCTCGACACGATTTTTCAAAAGCAATTCTTCGAAAATAGTTTCTAATCTGTTTATGAAAACAATGTCTTACATTGTTTTCTATCCAATCACTTTTTTACTGATGAAGCACTGTAAGGGATTCATTCAGTTGAGTAAAAACATGAAAAATTTGAAGGAAAAACAGGAAATGAATATGCCAATCCAACTGAAGTTTGATAACTGGTATAGGTTGGGCAGAACAATAAATACATGAATGACTACTACTGAAAGTTTTCTATGGAGATCCAAAAGGACTACAGAACAAGTAATGAAAGAATGCGTACTACTGAAAGTTCTCTATGGAGATGCGAAAGGACTACAGGTGAACTTTCAAAACACTCTGAGAAAAGTATCTGTGCTGATGTACTGATTCAAGATGAACTTGAATCGCTGCTAATTATATTCATCAAAAAAATTTGTCCTAGGAAAGTCCCAGTAAAGGCGGCAACTCTTCTATAGTACCATTATTGATCAAAGACATATTGGTATCCACCTAAGTTGCCACAATGTCCATAGATTTCACTCTAAATCAATACGTTATCCAGATCTTCATGAGTTATAAATGCTTTTGTTGGAAGATGAGGAGAAATAAGTATGCTGTCATTAGAAAAGCTGGATATTAGATCAGAAGAGATGGGTCTGCTATTATCAGTGAATCAAAATTGACCCAAAAATATTTATTCATTTTCTTCCCTTTCTAGGTGAAAGTTGAACTCTAGCTGTTTCACAACAACTTCAATGTTGTGTCAAAGCAATTTTTCATGTTTTTTGGCCGTAGTCTGCAGTTTTTTTGCCATTGGGCCACTCTGTGGCTTAATGTCCCCTTTTCACGTCTGTTCACAAGAACATATAAAGAAGGTTAGAGTCGCTTCTAGTTTCATTGTAAATTGAATTTTTGGGTACCACTAACGTGTCACGTTGGTGGTACCCAAACGTCGAAGCTCACTAGTCTCAAGGACCTAACTTTATAACTCTACTTTTTTCGATAAAGAGTCCCGAGCATTTGATAAATGATCCTTTATTTCCTATGAACGGCTCCAGTAAGGCTGTCAAGTATTTGGTCAGTACATAAGTTGGTGAACCTATCACATTCACGATATGTTTAAGTGGCACATTCTCTTTATGGATTTTGGGAAGCCATATAGACGTAGCGAAGTGGAGAAAAGGCTTTGGATTTTTGTATGACCTTATTCTTGTTTTCCCGAATTTTTATGAACCAAAAGGAAGATTTGTTTCTCTCAAAGATCTTTAGGTCCGGTACCCAGCTAGGCTAGTCAAGAAAAAAGTTTTTTTTTTCTATGTTAGAAATGTCATGGACCAGATAGGGAGAATCACAGAGAAGCATGACGTGAAATGAATATTCAGGTCAACAAAAACTATTAGAGAAAGTCTGGAACCCCAGAGAACCTTCAGCAACACCCGTAGTATACCGAATTGCTAAAAATAGGTAACCATCACCCTGAACAAAAAAGAAATTGTTGCCTGGGACAAACCGACAAATCAGCTGTAGCCTAATATGCTCTCAAAATAGAAAGCACTCAAATATAGAGAGGCAACAGAGAAAATCTGGCTACCTGACCCCGGATATACACGAACGAGGTCAGGTGATCCCGGGGCTTGAACCATCGACTCCCACATCGACCAAGTGATTGAGTGAACAAAGCTCCCATGTCGAACCGCCCAGCTGCCGACCGACCTTCTTTCTTGAAATATCCTCAGTTGAAAGCATTGATATGAAAACCAAACATCGATTCGTAAATCATTTGCCAAAACAACGATGAATTTTAACATGGATATTTGTTTGAAAGTGCCATTTTCGAAGACGAAATTTTCGAATATATGAATAGAGTACGTAACTGAATGTACTCATATTTTCCAACGAGAGGATTTCACTGTTTTTCCATTATTTTATCGGTTCGAAGAAAATAATTTTTACCACAAGTATTCTTGATTTTGAGCTATTTCATTATTTGTCTAATGATTCGCTGTTTTTGAAAGTGATATCTGGCGTGGTGGATAGTACGGTAGAAAGTGGGTGGTAATTTTTTTTCATGAAAATCGACTATGAAAATAAATGCAAAGTGCTCAATAAGTGAATTTGCTTTCTGTATCGTTGTTGTTGCTTTCGAACCAAGCGCTGTATAGTCGATTAATTTTATTCAGTGGAATGGAAGAAAACCAATTCATTTCGAAATCAATTTGTCGAACCGCAAAAAATATTTAAAGAACAATAGAAATGGTGAATGGATTCATAAACAAACGATGAAAATATGAAAATTCAAATTTGTTTCATTCCACTGTAGTTTGATAATTACAGAAGTTTTTGTATTTTTCCAAATTTTTCAAGGTTGGTTCAATATAATGAAACAAAAATTATTCATATTGTAACTTCATCATTTTTCATAGAACAAGAGAAAATGTGTTCAGAAAGTGAACTTAAAAAATATCACCTTTTAGAAATAGAAAGAATACGTTTTTCCTCGATGATGAAATTTACTAGATTCTGATTTTGGACTCGAAATTTAATCATAGAATTTGATGAAATTTGCTTTGTAAGCCAAGCATTGGGTCAAAAGTAAGTCTTCAAGAATGAGATGCAATTTCCACAACTTTGCTCATTCTCTTTTTAATTAATACATTCTTGTGGTCTGGTATCTTCTTCAGTCCCAAATGAATCAATTTTGGTAGGGCATATATTCATAATTTTCCTTTGTTCGCAAAATGATATATGGATCATCAACCGGTTGTTTACATTGCAGAATGTATGTGTCTTAAGGCGGTAAATCCTTTTATCGATCAATGAATATTTATAATAAACATTATTCTTGAAGAAAATTATGAATAAACATGAAATTTTTCTATATCTACGATCATTCTCTGTTTATTTCTGTATTAAAAATATTCATAAAAAATTTGCACGATATCGAAATGAATGATATCGGCTTGATAATGACATTGAAATCATTTATTAAAGAGGTACTCACAGCACTGTATTCTGCTGCAAGATCGTACCAGCATCTTGAATTATTCTTGATTGTGTAATAATCCTTAAAGGTTGGGCAAACATTATTCTCTTGACTGATCACACTACTGAAGACGAACACGACACTTGCCAACAATTCCGAAATAGACCTCATGTTTTTCGACCTGAACTCTTTACCTCATGTGTATGGTATTACCGAGTTCACTTTTAATGCATACAGAGGCCTTGATAGAGAAACTGTGGTTAAATATGAACCGGAGTGCAACAAAAATGTAGTTCGATATCGAATTGGTTCTGCATATAGTTACCTAACGGGATGAAATGTCCTTGTTGAAATTTATTTATTGCTGTTGAATAAAATAAGAATGTCTCAATAACAAGTCATTAATTTCGAATCCCACTTTTATTTGCACAATTCATGATCAAATTTTCATTTTGATCTTTGTGATTTGTTTGTTTTCTAACGGAAACATGTTCTAGTCAAGAGGTAACGTGGCTAGGTTATTGGGAAACGTTATTCCTACCCGGTGAACATTGTATCTGCAAAATATTGGTCATGTAATAGTTTCGTTCACATGAGCCATTTTTATTAAAATAAAAAACAACAATAAAAATTAATTGGCGCTCCGGGGCGACTTCATTGATTCCATTGATTCATGAGGCCTATTCAAATAGACCAAACATTTGCCAAACAATTTTGTCCCAAATGAGATGATCGTGATAATGATTCATACATTATCTATATAATATCGTCATATTCGAAGTGAGTAAAACAACATTTGAAAAGTTCCAAAAAGCCTTATTATTTTGAATTTCATTAGTTCGGACTCTCATTGTCTGATATTATATAAAGTGATTTGAAATCCCTAATATAACATTGTATAATGATTTCAACTTTCATCTTTCGACGGATAGGATATTCGTATAGGGAAATAAACCACAACATCACGAAATAAATTCACAGATAACATCCCAAACCAAACCTTTTTGACATAAGATCATGAATACATAATTTATGAGTTGTTCAATAAAAACAAAATAATAAGGGTTTGTTTGAAGGTGATTGACAATGTCNATTGTTTTTCTCAGCTATTCATTTTTATTCTTCTTCTTTAATTTTTAATTCTTCTTTTCTAGTTACTTCAGGGATTTCAAATCACTTCATATAATATCAGACAATAGAAGTCCAAACTAATGAAATTCATTATGAAACATTGTCAATCACCTTCAAATAAACCATTTTCATTTTGTTTTTCATTGAACAACTCATAAATTATGTATTCATTATCTCAAAAAGGTTTGGTTTGGGATGTTATATGTGAATTTGTATCGTGATATAATGGTTTATTTCCCTATCATTACTACCAGATATTAAACGAACGTTGAAAGTTGAAAGATGAAAGTTGAAATCATTATACAAAAAATGTTCATTCCAAGCCATATTGAAAATATCATTTTAAACTGAGAGAAAGATTCTTCATTTTTATTCTCCAAGAAATGACTCGTGAATTATTTGTAAATGATCATCATTCAAAAAACGTTCCTTTGGGAATGTTTTATGTTTCACATATTTGGTAATGTTAGATTGTATCGAAAGTTTTGTCCGTTTTCATGAGTCTACTTTGAATTGTTATACCTTAGTGAATACTTATTCGAAATAAGCGTCGTTTGAATCAGTACACTTCTGCCAACGTAACACAAGTCGATTAATTACATCAGCTCAAAAATTGAGTGCTCGAGATTCGATGAGGTCAACGAAGGCCATTTTTGCCTGGTCCTGATAGGCAAAAGTTCTACCGGTGAAAAAGTTGTCAAAGTGCTTGCAAAGATAGTAGTCGGTGGGCGAAAGGTCTGGTGATTATGGTGGGTGAGGCAGAACTCGGACGCTCAATTGCTGACGAAATTTTCGGTAAATCGATTTCCTCACAATGGAACTCTGCGGTTATGGTTGGGCCCGGTTACAGAAATTTATAGTGAAAAGCACCAGCCGCTGACCATCATACAGTAACCATGGATTTCCGCCTAGTTTTTCCGCCATCCCACGTTCCGTTGGGTCAGTCTCCATCAGGGATTACTGGAATACTGTAGGTCGACCATTACGTGGTTCATCTTTGAGGCTGATGTCTCGTGAACGAAATTTCGTTAACCAACGTCGAACAGTGCGTTTATTAACACTATCATTGCCAAATAGTAAGTAATAAGCTGAACAGGGACAAAAAATAAAATTTGTAGAAAAAATTGAATAGCATTCGTGATAGAATACGAAATTATCTATCCATCAGTATATATCACGACATAATAGAATAACACTTTTTATTTTGAATTTTATGGCCGCATATGAGATTTGTTGTTGTATAATGAAAATAAATTCACATAT